GCGTTGATTTCGGCATCGGGGGCGAGACTCAGGCGGGAGGGAGAGAGAGGGGGGGAGGGGGAGAAGAATGAGAGGAGGGAGAATAGAGAACATAAGGGAGGTACACTGGGGATTTGATTTGGGGGGAGATGTAGTAATAACCATAATTTCTGTCTCTTATACACATCTAGATGTGTATAAGAGACAGGGGGGAGGCGCGATGGCGGGGGTAGGCGGGGGAGGCGGGAAGAAGACGAAAGAGAAGCAGAAGAAGCAGAAGAAGAAGAAGAAGAAGAAGAAGGGAAAAAAAAAAAGGGTGTGTGTGTGTGTGTGTGTGTGTGTGTTTGTGAATGTGTGTGTGTGTGTGTGAAGTAAGGAAACATTTGCAAACAGCAAAAAGACAACCCGCATAAGCAGGAACTACACACTGCTTTTTCAATCGAGAGCACAAAAATATGTAATCATGCATTGTCACTCCGGATTTCGCAATCCATTTTACAATCGATGATGAGAAAGAGCCTTTGGGGTTTTATGGAGGGGAGAGGGGAGAGGGTTGGGAGTGGGAGGAGAGAGGGGGGGGAAAAAAGGACTTAGAGGAAGAGTAGGAGAAGTAGGAGAACCCCAACATCCGATGAAGAGAAGTCATCAGGAGGGGAGGGAGGCGCGTCCCTGAAGTGCTTTTCGCCGTCTGCGCCCTGAGGACGGCTCATCAGATGGGGGAGGACATGTAGCCCAAACTCTGGAGAGATGAGAGAGAGAGAGAGGGAGAGAGAGAGGGAGAAGTTGGAAACAAGGGGGGAAAGATAGAGGAGGCGAAGAACTGGGAGAAGCTGATGAGGTAATGGTGAAATGTATCGGGGAAAGAGGGAGTGGGGGGCATTAGGGGGTTATAGAGAGTGTGGGGGGGGCGAGATTCAGGCGGGAGGGAGAGAGAGGGGGGGAGGGGGAGAAGAATGAGAGGAGGGAGAAGAGAGAACATAAGGGAGGTACACTGGGGATTTGATTTGGGGGGAGAGGTAGTAATAACCATAATTTTGCCGGGTTGGGGGAGGAGAACGAAGGTGGTGAGCGGGTTGAAAGAATTGAAATACTTACCGCGTGCGCGTTGATTTCGGCATCGGAGACAAACTCAGTGTCATTGGCTGCCATGGTGTCCGCTCGAGGCGCCCTAACTGCCGAACTAGTAGTCGTGTGGCTGTAGGAGGAGGAAATACGAAGTGTCTGATCCTAGGGGGGATCAGGTAGCACTGTCGTTCTCAGTGTAGACCAGGGGGGTAAAAGGAGAGGAGAGGAGGAACGTTCTTCCGTTGTCGTGGATGTCGATCGCAGCCTGAGGAGCACTCGTATGGAGGA